GCTCAGCTCTGCCGGAAGTGATCTTGACCTCTGCCCTCGATTTGTTTGCGCAACGCGAGATACGCATCAGGATGACTTGGATCTCGCATATTTTCGACCGTTCAGAATGTTGTATCGGTCTTTCCATCCCCTTTGGAGAACCAGTTGATCGCGCTCGTTCTATTTGACGCCAGCCACTTTGAAGAAGGATCCTACTAACCTAATCTAATTCTGCCTTTTTGCATGAGAGCTAGACTGAATTCTGATTAAGTACACCTATGTAGATGGTTCTCGCAGTTGATTTCCTTGTTCAGGCCATGACATGCAAGTAGGGAAAAGAGGGCATTCACTGAAAACCCCCCTGATGAAGGGTGCTTTATGTCCAGAGAAGTGTTAGCGCCACTTAGCAGTATAGTTTCGTTTAGTGAACCATTTAACGTAATCATTAAATGCGCACATTTCGAGTACGAGGCTATGAAAAAAGGGACACTCGTTTGGCTACAAACATTTTGCTGGCGTCTTGGCTAATTTTCTGATGAACTTGCGAAAAGAACGCTCAGATGTAGGAAAAGTCGACATAATTAGTAATTTTTGGTAAAGTGAGCATTTGTATTAGCAAGCTGTTGGCAGTTGCAAACAAAATCTAGAAGAATCAGTAAAGGCTGAAGGTAACCAACGAGCACACCTTTATATAATGCGTTGCTCGAAAACCATCCTACTGTGTGATTTGATAAATTTGGATAATCTGCTGCATTGATGTGCCTAAATGAGACAAATAGATTTAAGGATTGTGTGCGTATGCAACGCTCCATTCCAGCAAATCATATTCCCTGCGACGTGGTGTGCGATGGCAATTTTCTTGAATCTGATACCCTGTCGGTGTATGAGCTTGCACTCCCACTGGGTTTACAGGCCGTGTACACGGTTGCCTGGTTAATTGTATCTTCCCTCTCTGATCTAGAGAAGTGAATACCGGCTGGTGGTGCCTAGCGAAGTTGCGGGCGGCGGTGGCTGTCACGCCCTCGTCTGTGTAGTCGCAAGGGC